CAGAGGACACACGCATCTTTCACACACAATTCAAGTTTCTTTTTAGAGTAGGGTTTGAACACTGTGTCCACTTCTTTTGGCCAACCTTTCATGCACCAGAGTAACACTTGCGACAGTGTTTCGTCTTTGGCTGTCCACTGCTTCACCTGAACTGATGTGATAGGCGGATCTTCCATCAGATCCAGCAGAAGGACTTGTGCTGTCTCTTCTTCTTCTTAAGTATGTGGCAGCGGCAACCTGCTCAGTGCGTCTGCATTTGCATGCTCTTTTCCTGGTTTGTAAATTATTTTGTACTCGTATGCCCGGAGTAGGGTTGCCCACCTTTGCACTCTTGGTGAACGCATCTGAGGAACGGGCTTCTTCTCGTGGAAAAGTGAGATCAGTGGTTTGTGGTCCGTGCTGATCGTAAACATTCGACCATAGATGTATTTATGGAATCTCTTTATTCCAAACATGATAGCTAAGCCCTCTTTATCCAGTTGTGAGTATCTCTTCTCGGCTGGTGTTAGCGTGCGGGACATGAAACCTAAGGGTTTTTCACTGCCATCTTCCATGATATGGGACAATACGGCACCATCTCCGTATGGTGAGGCGTCACACGCCAGCACCAACTCTCTATCCGCTGAGTAGTGACTCAGGACTTTAGCTGATTTCAGCATCTGTTTTGACAGTCGAAAAGCATCTTCCTGCTCCTTATTCCAGGCCCACTGGGCCCCTTTTCTCAGCAACTGATGGAGATGAGCTAAACGTGTAGCTAGGTTAGGGAGAAACTTGTTATAGTAGTTCAATAGACCAAGATAAGCCTTCAACTCGGTCACGGTGGTCGGCTGTGGAGCCTCTTCAATGGCTTTTATCTTGCTTTGCACTGGGTGCAGACCTTCTGCATTAATAATGTGACCCAAGTACTCCACCTCATTTCTCAGAAATGCACACTTGCATCTGTGAAGGCGTCCAGCGTACTTAGATGCTCAGCTTCATCTTTCCCTGTCAAAAGTATGTCATCTAAATACACTGCTACCCTAGGCAGACCCTGTAGCAAGCTTTCCATGGTTCTCTGGAAAATTGCTGGAGCAGATGACACTCCGAAGGCAAGCCTACTGTAGGTAAACAGGCCACGATGTGTGTTAATTGTTAAGTATTTCTTGGACTCTTCATCCATTACAATCTGCTGATAAGCATGACTTAAATCTAGCTTTGAAAACTGTTTCCCTCCTGCTAGACTATTAAACAAATCTTCCACTCGGGGAATGGGGTACTGCTCTAGAGATGAAGCGCTGTTGACTGTTAATTTATAATCGCCACAGATCCTGACAGAACCATCCGGCTTCAGGACAGGTACTATGGGTGCAGCCCACTCAGCATACTTTACTGCTGTTATGATGCTCTCTCTCTGCA